ATATTGGTATGAAAGTTATTGAGCCAGTCCATTGTAAGAAATATGCCACGCACGTAAACCGACCAAGAATTTCAGGTATTTTGTTAATCCTAAGGACGAATTCTATGGAAGCTGATTTTCTCAAACTTAAGAGGGTCATTAAGCAGATGTCAAAACTATCATGAAAGATCACTTATAAGTTGGCTCCTTTTTAACTGTCATTTAAGATTAACAAGTTAATAGATCATCACAGTAGCCACTTGGATAGCGACGCAGCACCAACAATCAAGCTTGGCCTTTTATTTATGGTCAATGAAATATGCCGTTTATCACAAAGACGGCACTGATTTCTTCCTCACAATGGCTTATAAACCAAAGTCTTTTTTTCTCCCCGTGGTTTTTTAAATGAGAAGGAGGGTATGTATTGCCTGTTTCTGGATTTAATAGTAACGCAATATTATCCAATGCTTAGAGGTTGATCGGGTAAAATTAGCGCGCGCTCAGCCTGATATATGGTTGGGTTGTACACGTATACACTAACTGCGCCCACAGTCATCTTTTTCTGCGGAAAGTATCAAAGCAATACTCCTATCGTGTAAGAATTTCACAGCATAACAGTGGAGGACAATCCGGGAGGGGGGGGCTACTCCGATACATTACCTATACGGGTATGTGCCGCCCAACGGGGTCGTGATTTTGAAGCTCCTGATTTAGAACGGGGTATCCATTTCAGAGGCGTTTTCTAGAACGGGGTATAAAAAATTGTGTATCACGGCTTTATCTTCTGCTTAAAATTGTTGCTTGTTATGAAGAAGCATTTGATGTATAAGTCGAACAAATAAAGAAATATCTCTTTTAAAAAAACAGGGCTATTTCAATTTGCAAACTTTCTAGAACGGAGTATAAAAAATTGGCCCATTTCTAGAACGGGGTGTCAGTTTTAGGGCGAATTCTAGAACGGGGTATAAAAAATTGGCCTATTTCTAGAACGGGGTATCAATTTTAGAGGATTTTTTTTTTAGAACGGGGTGCCAATTTGGAGTCCCGGGCGGCACATACCCACCCAAAAAATACCCAAGTGCCCCCCCCCCCCCCCCNTGTGACCCAACAGCGGGGGTTTTCCGCTAAAAATACATATGCGAATGTTATCATCAGGTAAGGTAATACGATCACGCGTGGAGATATAAACAAGGACCTGAGGTCTGGTGAAGCTGCTGAAACATTTTGTTCAAAACTTCTGTTGTGTTTATTTAAAACTACCCTGTACACAAAGGCTCGCGGCGTGTGTTCTAAAGCATGTTTGCATTGAAAATGATCTAGATCTATTCTTTTTTCCCTTGTTTTTCCTTTTTTTTATGCGTGGACAGCCTAAATTGCAATTTAGGACTGAATAGAAATGAAAGGAAACCCCTTTTGTTGGTTTCTGAATAGCTCTAAGCTCCGTATCCGCCGAAACCGCAAAACACTAAAATCTGATTAACAAATAAAGCATTATCAACCTCTGTTCAAAGACGTGATCAGGCGTTCCACAGATGAAAATAGCAGAAGTTACTCAACCGGTGAAATAAATATTCAATTTAATTTTTCATTGATTTCGAAATTAGAAAACTGTGCTACCTGTATTCTTCCACAAACCTCAAAGTGCATGATAAGTACACATAGATAGCAGATTCACCACTGACTAACCTCTTCCTTCTAATGTTTCACTGAGCTGCTTGGCCATTTTCTCGAAGTCGATCTGTAAGGAAAACACACGATGCAGTTGCACAAACACATTAGTGTAAAACAGCGGATTCCCAATGTTGTTATTTCGCGCAGTGGCGAAAGCTTGTTTGGAGCTCAGCAACAAAACAATACCACAAGTTCCTTACTGATAATGTAAGCCACTTGTCTTAAATGTTCGACTGTCAAGTTTGTTTGCAATACTCAATACCGGGTTCTGCGCTCACAGTTCAGATGTTTGATAAATATGAAACATATTTTGGTAAACATGGCTGCAAATGACAGAAACGTTGATTAGTCCTTTCTTATTGCCGAGCTACCTTTTAACGCAAAAAGCGATAGTCAAAGTTACCGCTTACATGCAGACGATTCGTCAGGGAGTAGCGAATCTCGGTCAATCGTCCCGCTCCTCAGTGACGAGCAGTCATACATTCTCACATTCTCACATTCTTGCTTCTTCCGCTTATAGAAACATGGACAAAAACGGTGATTTGATCTGTTGAAAACACATTCCAGCAGCGACTCGTCACCTGAAAGTGTCGATCCTTCAAAACATTGGAGACGAGAGACAACGAACACCGCACTTAATAAAGTGAATGATTACCTTAATTTAACAAATGAATAAATTTTGACTAGCTGACACTCAAATAACGCTAACAAAACCTCATTGGCAAATTGCTTCTGCATAACAAATAAGCAAATTATTCTTTTGGTGTATTTTGACTGCCTTTGCATGGGAGAAAAAAAAAATTCCGGACAGTTTACAAAATTACCTCAGGCAAAACTGGAAACCGGAGTTAAAATCCTAATTCTAGATGCAACAATTCCGACTTCATTTAATTTCAAGAACAGTATTTTTCAAGGATTTTAACAGGGCCACAACTGAAGAGTTCATCCAAAATGCCATGATATAACTAACGATATTTTCACAACAGTAAAACTTTCCACTCTGAAAGCACGGAAAAATACTAAGTTCTAGGGTCTTCAGTTTAACTTACGTTTAAGCATCGTTCGGCCAATCTAGTTTAATAGAACGGTTTTGCCTTAAAATCCTCTCCCGGACAGAAATATCTAGTTTTGAGACATCAGGCCCCCTTTTGCTTGTTTGTTATAGACCCAGACGGTTTTTAAAAGATGAATACCCTAATGCTTCGATTTATTTTATCGGCATTTTTTTAATATATATTTTTGCCCTAAGGCACCTGTATCATTTAATGAATGTCTGCTGACAGTATTAAACAATATCAATATTGATCAGAAATTGAGAAAAGCAAATGTCTTAGTAAGTTGTTTACGAACAACGACAGAGACTCGGCTACAATACTATGTTAGAGTTGGAAGACCTTCGTGGACTACATTTTGAATAGATGAATGCATATTTGTTTCCAGTATTCGAAATATGTAATAAGTGATAGCATTACCCCATCGATCATTTCAGTCATTTCCGTCATGAAAAAAATTACGAGAAAATGACTTAAAAGCTACTTTTCTAAATATTTTTGAATCTAAAGCATCTTAAAATTTATTACATTTCTCGCAAATTTTGGTAAAAATTTAGTTGATTTCACTGATTGCCAACAGCAAGAGATAATGCCTTACTGTTTGTTTAGTCTGAAAGGATACGTAACATTGTACCTTTTGCTGATTGATGATAAAATTTGCAGTTTCTCAGCTGTTTGGGTGGAAGGTCACTCACGGTGAATCTGGGAACACGAGTGTTACGTAATGACAGAGGCTACGACGACGAGCCATGAGTATATCAATATATACCACAAACATATTGTAATCATTTTTGAACACATTAGAGGCGTGAAATTAAAATTTTAAATTCATAGGTTATCATAAGCATATAAATCAGCTGGAGTTGGTAACATGCCCAGTTCCCGCCAAAAGTGTACAAGGCTCCGTGTGCGATTCGGAGATTAATGCCAACGAATCCTGCTCTGATCATCACTCAGGAATGGTGATCTGCTTTAATTAAGTAATTTACTGGAACGTGCTCCTTTTATTTGGCAACACTGAAGTTATGAATTTTGTATAAACTTCGCCGGCGCGGCATTAGCCATAGTTGTATCAGTGTTTGCGGACTGGTTGCGAGAGCGGGTTGCTGAGTAGATGTACCCGTGTCCACATCTTAACCTGTAAGATTCCTCGGGCCCAGTTTTTAACGCAAATTCCAAACTAACAAGTATATAAATTATTTTTGCCTTAATATGCCGCGCAGCCAAAGATATACAGGTTTTTCATGACTTCTAAAACTTTTTAAGCAGAACTTATATCCTCTAGTTACATATCCCAGATGGAATATTCAGATGCAGTAACAAATTTCGATTTATATCGCACAAATTTTATACAAATATGTGCTCGTAAGAGGTCGGATGCCGGCCTGTGTAAAGCTCGACAAGTGATCGGCTTTCCTTCCGTGTTGTAAACCGAACCCGGCTGACGGAAATTAAATCGTCATTTTTTCGGGAAGCAGTCAATTCAGTAACTGGGGAGAATTGAGCCGAGTCGGGCTTGCTCTGCAAAAGAACTGATTGGCAAAATCATGGTGGACACTAATAATTTTGATCGGGAAATCATGATCAGAATTAGTCCAAGGAGCCATGATAAATTGCTAATTTGACAAATTATGTGTCATATATGCCCCCTCACGATGTCGCCAAACAGGCACCCATTCACGATATTTATCAAAATGATATAGTTGGTTTGGGTTTTCCTATTTTGCATTTCAATTTCAGATACACCATATTAATTCAGGCCACTCAGTAGCACACAGTTGCAATGCGTGATTACAGATTTTCCCAGATGTATTGACTTAGCGGCGGCCGCACTCAAACCCATTAGAACGGGGAGGAAGGAGCTTAGCTTCCTACACAAAGAATTCTTTGGTCTTGTTCCTCATGCATAGCCAAACTGAATTTAAGCAGTATAAGACAGCACACAAATTCTAGCTTGCGCGAAAAGCTTATCTGGCGTCATAACTAAGGAGCCTGCGAACGGTTTGAAAGGCATTGACGTAATCGTGAACCTCAGGTCAATGATTTGCGGAGGTATTGTCTCTTGTCTGGTTTTTAATTTTATGTTTGTTTTCGACAAGTTTTCATCCTTTAGGACTCTTTTATTGACCTTTAATCATGCGGTACTTTCTTGTGAGCAGGTATCACGAGACGCTATCGCGATAGTTGCCTTGGAAACCAAGCAGTCAAAGATCATGCGCAAGTACTTGAATGGAAATTTTCATCTTTTTCAAACTAGTACTATTACTCCCAAAATTTGTGCGTGAAAATTTACTGCGTTCATTTTCTTTTCTTAAATATCCTACTTACCTCGTTCACATTAACTTGGGCAACGTTATGAATTTTCATTGCTCGCAAACCAAACTTTAAACTACACAGGGTCTCGTTGACATCGCGAAAAGACGGAGAAACACAAACCTAAACAACGGAGGATCAAAGAAGTATTAACTGACAGGAAAAAGCTTTTCAGATTACTGGGTTGATAATGGAGACTCATTGCAGACCGTGGGCGTACCGATCGACGTAAGAGCACGAAGCCCTATCAGGAGGCTCCTGGCTCTATTCCATACTGCTTTAGCCTGCATAAGATACACCGCCGTCTATCATCGTTCATCGCTCATCGCCACGATCCATGATAGGCGGCTGCATTAGCAGAGCCTACATCAGCAATGGCCATGAAAAATTTAATGCAATTTAAACAAATGTATTTGAAAAAATCCCCGACAGAATGGGGGCAGCTTAACGGCCACTGGGTTACAACAAAGGTTTTCACGCTTCCTTTTAAATGATTAGGACTTTAATACCTTCTCAACGATTTTAAAAACAAATTGAAAGTTCGTCTCCACAAAGGTTGATTATCAAGAATATTTGTTTCTTTTTAGTAAAATCTTTTCTACACCAAACCCCGAAGTCGAACCAGAACATTCTATAACTAGTTCAGTGAAGGGTCACTATTTGCAAAATAATACTTTTTACTTACAATTAAGCTGGTTTTGGAGTTTCCATCCAGTCCGTCCTGCAGTAACCTTGTCAACACTGAATTTCTGTATGGAATATGACGTCTGGTTCCTTCTGCGAGAGCCTGAATCACATTCCTAAAAAGATTAAATCTGTCATCTCCAATGGCTCAGACACTAAGCAAAATATTTGTAACTTGTTTTTGCTATAACGTCTGTTGGAATTCTGCTAAACAAGGAATGATAATTCATGGTAATAAAACATGTTTTGGATTTTTTGCTTTTTCCAATAGATCAATATTATAATTAAGATTCTCCATCATGGTTCGAACACTGTGACCGACAAAAGCGTCCGCCTTCCTTTGTGTATCACTCTAAACACTGCAGGATCCATTAGCAAAATGCTGTCGAACGCATGCCGGCTACAACCCTCCCCCCAGGCCCCACCTAACCTTTTACCTACCTGTGCGGTATGTTAAAAATGCATTGAAACGGCTGGAGTTGCATTTTGTATGGGGAATTAGACATTAGAATTCTGATAGTACTTTAACGAGCAACTGAACCACCCATTGAACAAAAAAAAAACAAAAAGCGACCAGTTAGCATCAGGGACGAGCCCAAACCTTGGGCCACTCTGTGCTCCTTTAGGCTCCTGGCAGTAGCTGGCCTTTGCAATAATCGGGAGTGTTTTACCCCGCTCCGCTCATCGATATCATTGTCAGTAGCTTTCTTTCTCTTCTCCCACCGTCATACAGGGGAACCTCCACACAACGAAGGGCCAAGGGACTGGAAAAAATTGTTTGCTCTATTATATGGCGGTTTTGTTATGTGGAGGTTCTTTTTTAGTACTATTACTGGGGTAAAGAATAGTTCGTTATATAGGTTCCACTGTACCGAGTTCCCCGCGTAGCAACAGCCGACGCTTTTGTATTGATTTTAGACAAGAGATAATCTCTGGTTCTAGAAAAATGACTCACTGACACTCAAATTCTATGGCGCTTTTGGCACTAGGTTGAGTCAAATTCATTTACCGCAAAAGATAGTGTAAATCGCGTGAAGACGAACATTTAGGTTTCTTAAGTCGACTCCAAGTGGTCAGTTGAAGAGTGTGGAAATTGTTCGGACGTATTCATTTGACTAAATACGCGATATGGGTCACACGCTTGCTTGCTTGATCAGACATGTAAGTAAACAAGATAATTTGTAGTTTTTACTTAGTTTAAGCAGATATAAATCCTAGACATAACATTTCTTAATAAGGTTCCGGCTGGGAAAATTCCATGGGAATATGGGTTTAAGTTAGGCAATAGTGTGCGTATTCAGACAACTCTTCACAGCTTTTTACGCATTTCCAATATATATAATGCGGCTCCTGATGTTTGTCAATTATGTGCTGTGACGCGAGCACTAAAGCCATTGACTCCTGTCGTTTAAATTAGCGGCTGAATTGCTGAATCCTTTAACCCTAATATCGAGGAATAAATTCTCCACTCTGCTCGTCATACCCCGTTGAATAATACGGGTGAGGAGCCTTTACAATACATTTTAACTGATTTACAAGATCTCTTTCTGTACTATAACGAGCTATCTGGTTGATTGAGCAAGGAGAAATTAAATATTGGTCACAGCCATGAGCCACAGATAGTTGCTCCCAGTCCTCTCGGCCGCAGTTGCAATACTTAGTTTAATGAACGCGCGGCATCAAATACAAACTGCATGAAAAATCTGTTTAGATGTGTTACTGAGCGGTTTATAAGAGCATATTGCTGTTGCATAAAGTTGACCATATTAAGTCAGTTTTCATCATACCCTTAATTTCAGTTCTGTAAACTACTCCCACACTATCTGAAGACCTCATAGATCTAAGTATGCCACTTAAAGACGCAGTATGACTGGCAATCAAAAGTGAAAGTTCTTCGCGGCGGGTATTACTGATTTTTTTTTTCTAAGCCGTTTGCTGCGGTTTGTTTTGGAAGTATTTCTTTTAAAATAAAATACGATGCAATTTCCCTGCGAAACACCTCAGTTTGGCCATTACTACCAGCATCTGCCTAGTTCTATTAAGGCTTCTGGCGAAATTAATGAATTTTGCTACTTTGCTGTAGAATTAAATTTCTATTATGAGCTAGTTGTGCTAACAATGTGCTAGAAGCTAATTCTGTCAACACAATTTCAAAAAACACAAAAAGTTAATACAATTAATTACATTATAGTTTCCAAACTCTAAAAATTAGGGTTAGTCATAAAAAAGTGCCTATAGTTTTTCACTTACTAACCCCAGCTCCAGAAGAGATGAATTGATGCTCTGAGCCTCTTGAAGTCGTTCTCCTGCTGCCTTTGTTTTCTTCACTCTTTCACTTCCCGCCAGATCACAGCTACAAACAGGCGATAGTAGCAATCAGCTGACGAGATTTTAAGGCTGTAATCTTCCTATCAAGTTGATACGAACGTGTATAATCCAGTTATCGCGAGTCTCAATGTCTCGGAATATTTATAGTTGAGATATTTCTCGATCGTTGATGATGAAATCAACGCCTTCAATTCAGCTGAGGGATCGGATGGATATTAGTGAAATGCAACAAAATAGTAATATCAACCAACATTCTGACGTTAAAGGAACTTCCTGTTGTTGATTTAGTAGTATTTTGTCTGATACACTGACACATTTTTGGGTGAGGAACTGGGTGAGGCTCAACCATTACGAGTATAAAAAACTTTTGATCAGTGAGATAAAATATGAATGTAAATATCACTCACAGTTTTGGCACCAAAACATGTGTTGATATTTTGTCTAAAGATGAAATTATGTGCAGTACCATAAAGGAGAAAAAAGGAAAAGCAGGGTTTATAGATCCTAGTCATGGACCATGGGGTTAAAATCTCATTTTCTCTCAAATTTCAATCTTAAAACGCCTTATATAACGGTCTTTATTTGGATAATTGTCAAATATATTTCAACCTTCACATGCGGCTAAAGCCTTAAGTTCAAGGAAAATTCGAAGTGTCAGTTTCCTAACTGGTTAGAAACATTCGAAATGTACTATTGGAGAGATTTCAATCTCAATCATTGGTTTCTAAGGCCTAGGTGTTTTAGAGTTATCTGAAATGTTTGTTTTTTTTTTTGCAAATTTGTGGCTAGGATAATCCTAAAATTTATTTTGTGCAACTTAAAACCGAACAATAGGTATATTATCAATAATAATAATATATGACAGTACTCTGATCTACCGGATGAGCGGAGAGGTTTCAGCTGATAATTAATGGGTGTAAAAGGGCAAATAAAACGGGCCCAGCATGGCCGTGTGGTCATCGCCTCACGGACTCGCAATGCGTTGTCCCATGTTCGAGTCCCCCTCTATTTTACCCACGTTTTGTTTTATTTGGGCCTTTTTGTTTGTGCTTATGTAAGGGGGAGCTGCCTGTAAACTACAGTCTCAGTCAACGAGATACTTTTGTGTCTCTTTGTCCCCTCATTGTTGGTGTACAAGGTTTGGTGACTGAACCGCGATAAACAACTTCGAGAAGGTCAAGGGGAGCACGAAAAGGAAAAAAAAAGCGTTTGGTCTTTGCCCCAACTATTTTTGTCTGAGACTGTAGCTAGAGAAGTAACCTCTTCCGCAGGCAACTCCCTTTTTTTTAACGGTCACACTGACCCTGAGGAGTCTGAGAACGCGGGAAAAAGCAAAAGGGAGGGGTGGAGCTGCCATCACTGTCAGTCCCAGTTCTCTCCCCATTCTCCCACCCGTTCTCTCACGAGGTACAGATTCTCTCCGCACCTCCCCTCTTCCCAATTGTTTTATAAATCCTGGAAAAACCGATTCATTTTTCAAGCAGAATGCTTTTTCCTTTTTATGCTGAAATGTTATCATAGCAATCTTATCTGTTATTGTTTGAAAGCAGCAAGACAACATGCTCTGACTAAGAGGCGATGATTCCGGGATCTTGGAAACTTTCTCTTTCCCAACTTCCTCGACTGGTATATTAGTAACGTAAGGAAGTGCTACCTTTTAAAGATCTTTAAAATTCTTGGAATAAAAGTGAAGGCAATATTGATAAGTTGAAACGCGATAAGTATCAGTGAATAGTGAATACATCGGAAGCTGTTGGCATTAATTAATGAATTGGTGTTGATTAATTGATGATGGGGCTTGCTCATCAATATAGAGGCGCAACACTAGGACTCCATATATGGCTTTCAGATCCAAGACAAGATTAAGCATCGATGTATATAAGTCATATAACTGTAAAAAGCACGTACACATAAAGCTTCCCCCTGACGGCCGCCAGACCACGAGTCTTAGATGTAATTCTCCGCAATAATTCTTCATCTTCCTAAAGATAATATAAAAAATAGAAATAAAAATAAAATAAATATAAAGGTTAGAAAATAAAGGAAAGAAAAGAAAAAGAGGAACTTTTCAAGATTTACTTGTGAAATAAGATTTTTGATTTGCCTCGTTTTCGACAGCTGGGTTACGGTTACTCGAGTTTTAAAGCATTCTTACTATTAAAAATGCATTTTTTCGTTAAATTCCCCTCGACATATCATTACAAAGGTTAGCCTTTCAGTAACGGGCCTTCTCTTCTTTCCATAAAATATTCTGCAGTCCGTGAACAGGCAAAACCGTTTTCGAGTTGCTCCAAGCCCCTTGTGCGAAGTCTCTGAGTGGAAGCAACGTTCAGTTGTTATGCAAGTAACTCTGACAGGCTCTACATTGGCCTTATAACTCTTGCCAGAGAGGGTTTTGAAAACTCAGAAATGACCTTTTTTTGTTCCAAAATTGCGTGCTAAAAGAGCCTTGTTGTATGCACTGCGGTCCCTCTTCTTTGAGTCACAAAAACGATCTATTAATAATTTAACTTACATCATAGTGGTAAGAACTGAGTGCGTCCAGGGAGCCACTATCGCTTGAAGCGTCAGCGTCTGAATTGCCTGACATGTAGTAAGACTCATAACTACTCAAAGAATCTGTTATGCCTGGAGAAAAAAAAAGCGTCTTATGAAACAGCGCATGTGGAGACCGAACACCCAATCTTTCAAAACAAACAAGCCCCGATACGAACAAAACTTTAGAAAAGAAAAGAACAGAATTACAAAATATCTCACAGACCTCCATAGCGGCGAGGGACACTGAGTCTCTCAATCTTGAGTAAGCACACGGCATGGGATCTGAAATAAGGAAAAATCCCGTCCAGTTAGCTTACCAATAGCACGCCAGAGCACCAAGCAACACCCCTCCCCCCCGAGCGCTCTTTTGTTCTTTGCATTTTCTTATTCGTTACAAGAGTCACTACTACAAGATTAAAACCCAATAACAGTGAATTGTGCCGGCAAATATGGCTTATATTCACTTGTTGGAAGCCGTAAGAGAATAATCTCCGATCAATAAAACTAGGAAAACTACGAGTGCACTTTTTAAACTATCTGAGAACTATCAAAAGCTTTTACCACTACTAGATGAGTTCTTATATCCGTTATTCAAGTGCTGAAGCTGGAAAAAAAAGAAAGAAAGAAACACCCACGAGCAGTGTATGTAAGCTTTTTATTCTAGGAGTGGTGAAAAAATTTTTAATGGTCGAATGTTATCATCCAATTACTGAGACACCGTTTTTTCTTTATTTTTCACACCAACCTGCTAGACTGCCTGTTCATTTTCGTTTCAGCCACGGCCAGTCTCCTTTTGCCAGACTTCAGCAACCTTACAATCTCCTCTGGACTCTTTACAGAATATTCTGATAGGTTTTCCACGTAAACACCTAATAGAGAAAAACCAAAAATCACCTTATGGTGGTTGAGGGGTAATAATTGGGCTTTATTAAAGTAAAACCCAAAAACCCTTAAGGTGGGAGCTAAGGGAGGGTGGCAAATATATAGGAAACAGCAGTTCGAGCGCTAAAATGGAATAATGCGTTTATGTTGCCACACTTCGATTCTTGATACATTATTTCCTACAACGGGTCGACCCTTGATTTTATACTGTGAAAACCGTTGTTTATCTTTCACAAAAAAAAATAATAATAATAACAAAAATAACAAAACAAAACGAAAACAAAATCTGGCGGTTGACCAGAAGATAGCGTGCCTCCTTTTAATCAATGTAAAACTGAAAAGCCGTTTTATTAAAGGAGCGTAAACAGATTCTATGTATTACCTTGTGCCAAAATAAATTAGGAAGCTCTAAGAGTGAGTTGTTCTATTATGAGAGTTAATTGGAAATACTCAAATCCAAACTAATACTCTGATAAATTACCAGCGAAAATGACTGAACGGATATCCTACTAAATAATAACAAGTGGGAACTTAAAATGGCGGGAAAATGCTTTCGAACAGGAGGCAGCAATAAATTACATTCCTGGACGAAAAGAAGCGGGAAACTATCAAAGCGTAACAATGCAAATCACAACAAATCAATTGCCCTATTTTCGTTAACTAATCAACAGAGGCGAGGGGGAGGGGGGGGGGGGGGTTGGGGGGGCATCCACAAAAGGAAAAAACAAAACGTAGGGGGGGGGGGCCGAAAAAGAACATAAAACCCAAAGAATAAAGTGGAAACCAGGTCCCGGTCGGGGTTTTGGGGCGAATTTCCGTTTGCCCATGTCCCCCCAGTTCAGGGGGGGGGGGGGGGGGGGGGGGGGGGGGGGATTGGGTGGCATTCACTAAACGAGAAAACTACACTTAGAGGGGGAGGTCCGAAAAAGACACTTACAGCCTAAGGATTAGCTTGCAACCAGGCTCTCGTGTCGGATTTTGGGCTAGATTTCGCTTTGCCAATTCGCCCCAGTTACCGCCAAGTGGGGGAATCAGAAGAGAGAAGGGAGCCTGTTGGTGCGCTAAAAGAGAACAAGTTATTCCAATTCATAATCTCATCCACCTTTCTTTGGATGTTCTCTTAAGAACACTTCTGTTCCTGATTTTTCAGATGCCAGGAGATCGTAAACACGTTCCTGGTAAATCTGTAAGTATGAGCAAGTCACCTGCAAGAATGAAGATTGTAGTCACATACACCAGCATAAGCACAATGTACCTGGGGTTTACACTAGCTGACATACACTCGAAGGAACGGAAACGGAATTGAAGATCCTAACAATTAAGGAGTCCCACACTGGACGAAGAACCTATTGGGGAGATTAGAGGGCGGATTGTAATCTTTTGAATTGATCGTGCGTTTTTTTTTTCTTTGTTTTACTTAACCAAGTTCCTTATTATATACTCTGTAGGGGACTAAAACTGATTTCCACGCAGAAAACATAGCTTAATTACAGATTCTCTTCGGAATAGCTTCCACGTCTTGGCAGACGGAATTTTGGATGCCACTGCGTTTTAAGCAAGTTTCCCAAGGCTCAGCCGAATCAAATACACGGCTAAGGCTTTATCCCCTCTTTTTAGCATACAACGAATAAAACGGCTGTTTTAGAACGACGTGATCTTTTTCTATACCTCCAAGTAGGTTTAAAAACAGACGCAGTTTATACTTACCGCATATGAATGAGCGGCGTCCTTGCCGATGAGCGCAAAGATATGGGACACCACACTAGTCGTCAACCCGTCTGCAGATGCCATCAGAGTGTGAGTTTTACCTGTAATTTTAGATGTAAAAGAATGAGACTATTTTTAAGCCAAGTTGATTTGACTTGTACCAGGAAATCGAAGACAATCATTTTTTAGCTAATCCAGTCAAAGAAATACTTCATATCCTTAGAAGGAGGATCAAGCAAGTAATTCTGTTTTCAAAGCGAGTAATTCTGTTTTCTAAATATACAAAGCGAAACCTTGATCATTTTAATATACAATTTCTGTTTCAAGAACGATAAAGGACAATACGGCTGAATGAATCCTACCTGCCCCAGTCTGTCCGTAAGCCATCAAGATGCTGTTGAGGCCTGTCATAGAGGCCTCAACCAGTGGTTTACCAACCACTTGGTACACCTAACAACACAAGAAGATATATGATAACACAAGAATACCGTTCATTCCGTTCCCGAGGAAAGAGTCTGTAGTTTTGTGGCCGAGAATCTTTTAACAAATGTATTTTGTTACATGTCATGTGACCTCAATTGGCCCCTACCAGAGTGCTATGTCGGTTACTACGGACGTTTGAAGTTGATTTTAATAAAATATATATAGCCCGCGTAACTAGCGAGTTTTCTCGAGCGCGACTGCATGCTTCATTCGGCCTCGGTATGGGCGCCCAATCAGGCTGAGCGGACTTCTTTGCCGCTCCCTACGCCTGTCAACTTGAAAAAGCACTCCCTCACTCAGATCCTCAGTCCAGCAACACTGAGGCTGCAAAGGTATTACCTGTTACTAAGCACGTTCCCACAAATTCGGTATGACTTCTAATATTATACCATAAACATAAATTTTTCTTTGTTCAAGACATAACCAAAATACTGTTTCCAACGGTTAACGCAAACGAGATTCATTTCTAAAACGCTAAATAAATGCCTGTCCATATGGTTGAATAATAGCTTCAGATAATTAACTTTTTTCGTATAGAAAAAAAAAAAGACAAAAATGATTAGATTGTCCTCTTACCTCTGCATTTGAGGCCTCCGGTGGCAAAACTTGATCAAACTGAAAAATCTTCTCTTTCTTGCCATCCGCAACACGAACCTTAAAATAATAAATTCTTATTTACAAAAAACGAGAACGGGAAATAATTAAGGAGCTTTGACGGATAAAGCCGGGAAATGAGAAATGTTCGACGATTACTAGACTGTGGAAATCTCGTTGGCGATGAGTGAACATATTAATTAACCACCAACTTTTTGTGTATAGCTAGATGGTCAGGAGTTAGATTACCGACAAAATTTGCTTATCTTTTGGGCTGGTATCATAGGTATCATTTAAACAGGCTTGTAGTCAAATATTAGTCATACGTATACACTACACCACTCGGAAAGTATTCAGTGGGATTATTTGCTTTAGACCCGACGGCGACTACGCAGCTTATATTGTATAGTATTAGCCTTACTTTTCTGCAGTCAAAGAACGCTACAATTGCTATGCTAAGTTAGTAAAATAACACTATTTTCTAGGGCTGTGTTTAAAGACTTCGTGTTTTTTTATGATTCGAGTTTACTTTACGTCTGGTTGATTGCTCCATTTAAGTCTGCCATAGTAACTGTAGTGCTTCATACCTTCTGTTATATATGAATTTACTACTGAGACTTGTAATAGCCTCCTTTTTTCTTCAAAGCAGGTGGAATATCACACGTTTCACGCGAGTGAAGACTGCGCAAGCCCTCGCTTCTCGCGGTTGGCGCGCCACCCCCGATTGACTTGAAACAACGATAAAACAAGTAAAAGACTTCTCCGATATCGATTTTACAACACCCATTTGGAATCGTTACACAGTTCACCCACCTGAGTAAGATCAGTAGCTTCAACGCTGACCGCCCCCTTCCGGGTAATGCTTGTGACGTCACCCTGAACTATAGGACGAATTCTGACATAAACCTGGACTCTACTCACTGAAGTGTCCTCGAAAACATCAGCATCTGCAAAAAAAATTCTTTATATCATGTATAATAAGACTTTACTAAGCAAAACAAATTCTTAACTTTCACCAATTGACTACCAAGTAGTGGTAGCTGACTCTAAAGGCCCCCTATAAATTATAAGCAAATCAATTGCAGGAGCCCTGTCATTTGCCATTGTCTTTTAACTTGAAAATTCAAGAGACAAAAAACAAAATAGAAACAACAGCAAAAAACAGCGAATGCAATTATCATCATCATCATCATCATCATCATCGTTATCATCATTATTATCAACGTCGTCATCTTCATTAAAGCCAACCAACTCACTTTTCCAGTTGGACGGCCCGGTGACTGAGGCCATACACATTAGATCTTTTCCGTGTGTTATCCACAAAGCTTCAAACTACTTCCCAAACAGTTTTAAAATACAGTGATTTGGTGCGGGAAAGCAAAGACCGTAACTAATACTGTTACGTGAAAAAAGAAACAGCTTTGTTTGGCAAACGGGATTTAATTCCAATATTTGTCTTGTTACTTAATTCAGTCCATAAATGTTTTGACCAAGCAGACGCTAAAAGATTGAAAGGTTGAAAATACAAACGACTGGTGGCATTAATATCGTCTCTTATCTTTCCACTACTGTATTATTATTTTGACATTTTTCAATTTCCTGTTATTGGAATGATGCGATCGAAAATCCAGACAAAACAATCAACACTTGTAATGCAAAATGCTAACAAGAAAGATTTCGGGGAGTAACAGTCAGGAGTCGAAAAATGAATTAATAACAAATAGATGAACCCCTTGCGCAGTGAAAGGCAACACTTTAAACCTTCTGTGTCAGACCACGTCATATAGCCAATTATTTTTTTAAAAAGTCCGTTGTGTTTGAGATTTTTTTCACATCTTTATCGTATTTAGCGTGGATTTTACTTAGTTTGCAGGGGCATTCTTTGACTTTTCGCGGAAAGCTTTAGTGAAAATGACGAAAATGGAAACGGCTTCCGTTTCTCTAAAATGTTGTGCACGTGTGGTATTTACGTCCTAGCTTAGTTTGCCAGCAGAACGAAGAGGGCTTTAAACAATGTTTCGGTGACCATTTAAGGAAAACGAGGGTCTTGGACACCTCTTATCACGACCTTACTTTATCTCACTATCCCTTCAAATTCCTCCCCTCCGTGGCCTTTCATACGGTCATCTGCAGGCCGTTTTGATGGTATAAACCTATGCATTCTGTTCCTCAAAAATGTGTAAAAATCGTCCATATAGACTATTAAAACTATCCCTCCCTAGTCAGTCAGAATATCTTGATAACATATAAAAACAATTGACCGCCTTTGAAATGACTAAAATCAGTTCTTAAAAACAGAATCTCTCTTAATCTAGCATGATCTGTAAACAAAATGACAAGCGTGTATTTTTTTCCTGTACTGAAGGATACCGCAAGACGTCAAAGGCCAGCACGTTCTCTGCCAAACTGCGTGAGTTTGAACAAGAACACTGAGAACAAATATTTTTAAAGATTTACTGCTGTAGCCCCTAAAGTCATTACACTGGGGGAAGAGAAACGCGTCAGCTTTGTAACAAAGTATCTGCGAGAGACATTTCGGAATAATCCATTCAGTTTTCATTGCAATATTTGATAAAATATTCTCGTAGCTATGAAAAAAAAAGAAAGAAAAAAGATAAAGATTAAAAAAGAAGAAAAAAACAGTTACATGTCCAACACTTCTTCCCAGCGGGATCTATGCCTTGAGTTGAAATGATACCTTGTGCCGCACTACCGAATAAATCAAGGCGAATACGTTACGAACTGAAAGAAATGAGAACCTACCTTGGGAAATCAAGCTACTGTTTCGCCTCATTGTTCAATCGTTACTTTTACGTAGAGTTCAGTGCAAGTCCAAACAATTTAACGGTGAATCCTAACTGACCTGCCACGTTTCTTATCATGGATGCAAAGAGACAGCGCCACACAGAACCTTTCCTCCAAGCATGTTTCTTTGATTAAAAATATTTCTTCCTGTGCTAATAGGTTAAAAGGCGACCTGTCATACTGAGATGAGGGGTTTGTTAACACCGAGTTTTATCTTACGGTGCGAAGTTGAATTGAAAATTTGTGACAGCCCCAGAAATAAAATATGTTCCTCTCATTGGCTAAAGTCTCGAGGCGCTAACGATTAGGTTTATAATTTACTTCACATTTCAAAGAGGGACCACCAAAGAAACACGTACTGGTTATGCATGACTGATGTCAGATTAACTAAAAAAAGTGGAGTGATAGATAAACGAAAATTCTTTTTTCCTAAGTATAAACGGAAGGTTTTGAATTACTATAAGGATTAACTGACAATTGGCCCTTGGAGAAACATCAAGTCGGATGACTATTTTATGTAAAGAATGCAACTATTAGATTCCATTGATATTTTGCTGATTTGATTACGTAATGTAACTCAGTTCAACAGATGTTATTTCGAGTACGCAAAAAGTCATAGAACAGAAATACCGTAAAATTCCGAAAATAAGTCCCGGGGCTTATAGTTTTCAAAGGCTCTTTTTGAGGAGCTTATTTTTGGAGGGGCTTATATTCAGAGGGGCTTATCTACGGAGGGAAACTTGCGTTTCAAAATTGATGGGGCTAGCCTTATAGTTGGAAGTAAATTTACCGTTTTTGCTTTGTTTTACCTTGTATTTGCAGGAAATTTGCTAAGTACAAGCCTCCGGGGGACTTATATTTGGAGGGGCGATTTAACGGAGGGTTTTTTGTGTCACCGGTTTGGGGGGCATATACATGGAGGGGCTTATTTGCGGAATTTTACGATATTCAGTTGAATGTGCTCGGCTTCCATTTAATGCGACTATAAAAAAGCTGTTTCAGTAATACACACTGAAGTATCTTTAAGGCAGGAACGGTAAGTAGGGAAAGACGCTTATGGTTTAAGCGAGACTATCCTTTCGCCGTCTGCATACTGTTGGTAGCTCCCCTGTCCCTAATCGAATTCATAGCAGATCAAATTAGTATTCTCTACTTGGAACGGCTGAAGCATTCTCAGGAAAAAGAAAGAAGAGAACATGAAGAAAAAATGTCTACGCATGTGCACCGGGAAAATAATCACCTGGCCGACTTCCGGCAAGGGTCAAAATCCCCGCGAAATGTTGTCATGATGAAACAAGTGATGGCAGTTTTCATCGTCAGTGGTAGTAATAGTTGTGGTTTTGTCGCTACTTTGTAGCTGTGATAGATCAAAAATTATTTTGGTCGAAATTTTAAGTCACATGTGCTTTTGTCTAGAAGATAAGGCATCAACACATGCAACAGTCTGTGTCAACAGTGGCTCGATCCATTGGACCGAGATCAGCGGTTGCGAGGGGAAAACATGATAAAGAGGTGGGTAATTTTCACCTTTTATGCTACAAGTCTCATGCAGCTCGGTCCCACAAGAAATTATAAGGCAGCGGAAGAAAAACACCTTAAACACCTTAGAAAGAGCCATAAGTTCTTGGTGCACTTCAGTGGATCTCGGACATGGTAGCCATAGTCTCAGTTGTTCAATTTTAGCTTTATTTAATGATCGTACAAGGCCGTTTTTGATTCAGTTTTGAATTTCCACAAGTTCGAATCGATCGAACATTTCATTTTTAAGTTAAATCCAAAATTATAGCACTTTGTAGCAGCGTTATAGCGTATCCAAGTGGGCCAAAATCCCATACATTCACTGTAGCCGTGTTTGCGCCCCCCTCCCTCCCATCCGAGAAAATTTGGTAATCACGTGACCGAACAAGCTCGAGCGAGCGACCGTCCGTCCGCACCACAGGCATACCAATGTAAAATAACTCAATCAACAGGTATGGCAACCCAAATGCAACTGGAAGGAAATCACATGCCCCCCCCGGACTTTTAGAAAGAAAAGACAACAACCAAGTCGTGTCTTTTTCAAAGGAGACGAATTTTGTAGAAAGAAAAACATGGAAATTGCAAGCAGCGGTGAGAAAATGAGAAATACTAGCGGCCAGCAAAGTGAAAATGAGCGGCAGTGAAAAATAAAAGCGAACATGAACACAGGAAACAAAGATTAGGTAAGCACATCGACGACAATTCCTCCATAAAAATAATGTGTAACTAGGAAGTTGTAGAAAACAACGGCAAGGGAAAGATAAAAAAGCCGTGCTGCACGTGCAATTTTTTTTTTGCTTATTAGATCTATTAGTCTTGATACACGCTTTAGTTTTTTTTGTTTACACGTATTATTAACAAGAGCTTCGCTTTTAGCCCTGGCTAAATCAATGGCTAAATCTACATAATAAGCTCAAATCTTTGGATGCTGTTATTAGTCTTTATGTGTTGCATCAAAGGAAAGACATATTTATAAAGCATTGATCATGCGATCTTGGCCATGGATTAAAAAAAAAAAAGAAAAGAAAAAATAAACGAGATATTTTACCGGAAACGTAACGGAGACCAAAAAAAAAAAGACTTATTTCCACAGGTGAGAACAAAACCAAACACATACTTTAAAGTATCGTTAAGGTGATAACTGAACTGATCTCAAACCAAGAGACACATAGTGTGAACCGCTACGAGACCATTATTTTACCCCACTTTTTATTAGTGTTCTGCTGTTTGACATTTCTGTTGGGCATGGGATATACAGAAGTTAGAAGCTTTAAACGAGCCCAGTACCAGTAATTTTATTTCAAGGTAATACAGCTCTGCTTACAAGCAATTGATTGAATAGGTTTATTGTTGTTCATTTTGTTAATATTGCCAATTAATAAAACCTGATGCTTATGATGCGCTATGAAACTTATAACGTTAACATGAAGACTACTTGTAAACGACGAGACCACGGCTTCTATATGTCCAACAAACATACCGTGCTTCAGGCATTGTATGAAACATTATAAACACATTAAGTGAACTTCCGAAAAACTGGTATGCTAACAAGTTTTCAACAAAAACCTACAATTTCAATCCGTTTTTAATCTTCTTCAAGATTGTCCATCCGTGCCTACTTTTGTGTTGGAATGTTATGATTACCTTCTTTTAATTTTTTACACGATTATGTTTATGTTTCATTCAATTTGGTGGCACTGGTTCCAATGATTAGAAGTTGATAAAATTCGTGGCACGCGATTCTCGCATAATTGCCACACTTATTAGTCATATTACCTACTCATCTGCTGGATAATTTGTTGCCCAGAATTAATTAAAGAATCTTCAAAACGTCTGAGGACTCAAACGAGCCTGTTACTTTGGGTTAGTAGCGAATATTTTAAACCTAGTTTTATCAATAGACTGTATTTTAGATATACTTTTACTTTTTAACTAATAATATTAAACATGTAAAAATATAGGTATATATATATATATATATACTTGTACTGATTCAATTAATAAAAACTAAAGACTTAATGTTAGGATTGAGAGTCACTTTAAAACAGAATCCAGGAGGAAATTGAGTAATTTTAATTTTTAGTGGACAAAAACCTTGTACCAGAATAATTTAAAGAGTATTGCGTTCTTTTTTACATTTTTCAAGGGCTAAAGATGTAATTAGTCATCTGTAATAACACCAAAGAAAATTTCTGATCGGACTCCGAGTTCATTGTGAAAAACATAGGTAGAATTCTGAAAATTTCATGTGTAAGATGTAATTTTGTGAAATTTGAAATTCATTTTTTCAGGCTCCATGATAAGAAACTTTCTTTGGTGTTATTACAGATAACTATTTACATCATCGTATCACCCCTTGAAAAATGTGAAAGAATGCAATTAATGCAATATGCTTAAAATTATTCCGGTACAAGAGTTTTGTCCACTGAAAATTAAAATTACTCAATTTCCTGGTGGATTCCGTCTTAATTTCTCGTTTCACTATAGCAGAAGATGCGACGGCTGGCTGCCCTGTGGCTGCAGCGTAGGCTAACCCAAAGCAGCTCTTTTGACGTCCGTACAACTCGCTGCCCGCAGCTTTGCTAGTCGTATACTCTCATAATTTTCTCGCAATCCTTCACAGATTTTCGAGCGAAAGAGAGACTGCTCGCAGTCAAGTTGAATATATGAGTTTGTAAACGTTTCAACTGGGAATGAGGTCATTTTCGTTATTGTTCACGATTGTTGACACATTAACGTGAGTCAATTTTTGCGTCACGCTATGCTCGCGACGCGACAGTCTTACTAACGGGCTTTAACTCCCGATTTCAAAAAAGTCGCGAAATTCGAGTAATAAGGTACAATGTTGCTTTTGATCAACTTCTGTTATATTCCCTTTGTTTGAGCCATGAATGTTAAGTGGGTTCCTGTCTGTAGTTTAGTTAACGTGGATGTATTTTTGCACAGTACAGGGAGTCCTTTTGCTTTTGTTTATAGTCTGCCGTTTATTCGTCCTTGCCTCATGTAAAATATAACTCTTTATTCATATTTTACTCTTTTTTTCTTTTTTAATTTATGTTTTATTCCGGCTAACAAACTGACTGCTTTGCTTCTTTCAGTTTACCGGTTCACTGGCAAGACAATGGAAGAAAAAACTTTTTTTCGCCTCTTTTTTGTGTTGACTATTGCTGGGGTTTTCTTGGCCACCTCGTATGGAGCTTCAGAGCCAGAAAAAAGGGTATCACCATAATTGATTTTCTTTCGTTTTCAAGTGTTTGTTGCTTTTACCGCTAATAATTTTTACGTCTATAGTATCTCCTCGTGATGACCCTATTGTTATTCAGCATCATCTGTATTAACGTATACTCTGCATGGGCATTTCTCTTTTGTTGTAGGGTTTATGTCTTTTTGGGTGCAGGCTCAAAAGACTGGAAAGGCAAGTTAAGGTAATAAAAATATAGAATGAAGCCTGACCTAGATTAATTTGTAGAAAAGCGGAGGTTACTTCTTTGATCACGGTCCTTTAATTTGAACGGCATCATATAACAAATGAGAGAACTCAGCAAGATCTGAAATCGAAAGCGGGGAGATGAATACCTTGTTGCAACTGAAGGCAATTAGTCCTCAATTACTTCATTAATTGAAATGGAAAACCGTTTCAAATGTCTCT